TTCAGCTTTCACATGCATATGAGGCAACTGAAAATACCATGGCTTGGATTAGGGGCACCTTAGTCCTCAAAGCAATATCTTTGCTTTTTAATACTTTAAAGAGGTTTTTTGCAGCAGATTTGCCCAATGCAATATGTCGTTTGATTTCTTGACTGCTGCTTCCTTGGGCGTTGATTGTGGAGCCAAGTAAAATGAAATCCTTGACAACTTCAGTATTTTTTCTGTTTATCATGACGCTTATTGGTCCAGCTGTGAGGATTTTTGTTTTCTTTATGTTGAGGCTTTATGTTGAGCAAAGGCTTTAGATACTGAAATTATCTGATACAGTTTATGAAACGATGACTGATTGCTATCTTAAAGATGTAAAAATGCAAGCTTGAAAATATCTGCAGGATAAATAAAAATGACTTAGCAGAATTGAAAATTAGAAATGAAAAATAAAACAAAGAACTCAAAGGATAGGTTTAACAACAAATTATTATTGTTACTGTATTTTTATGCAAATAACACGTGCCTTCTGTGTTTGTTTGCCAACTGCTCCCTCCCCCTGGAGGTATTTTTGTTAGCATTCTATGCTAATTTTTTTATAGCAACATGTAAAAAAAACTGGCATGGTGACTGTTAGGAAAATACCTTAGAGGAGGAGGGCATGATTGGCAAACGAACGTAGGAAGCTGCGTTATTTGTGTAAAAATATACTAGCTGCTGTTGAGTCAGTTCCAACTCATGGTGACCCCATGTATGCAGAGTAGAACAGCTCCATAGGGTTTTCAAGTGTGTGACCTTTTGGAAGCAGATCGCAAGGCCTGTCTTCCAAGGCATCTTTGAGTGGGTTCGAACTGCCAACCTTTCGGCTAGTAGTCAAGTGCTTAACCATTTGTGCCATGCAGGGACTCCATAACAGTAAATTAGACATAGTTAGAAAAAATAATTTGTCACTTGAAAACAAGTCAGAATAAAATAACCAGAATGCAGCAAAGAGAGGAAAAAAGATGGAAAATATGAAAGCAAAGTTGAAGAAAAATAATACCATATGGAAGATCTGAGATGCAGGAAGGAAGTACAAAGAAAGCGGTAAATTTGTGGGTAAGTCTAACACTCATTTATTAAAACAATAAGATCTTACAGGGTTGTCTTAGTCATCTAGTGCTGCTATAACAGAAGTACCACAAGTAGATGGCTTTAACAAAGAGAAGTTTATTTTCTCACAGTATTAGGCTACAAGTCCAAATTCAGGGTGTCAGCGCCAGGAGAAGACTTCCTCTCTCTGTTGGCTCTGGAGAAAGGTCCTCATCATTATCAATCTTCCCCCAGACTAGGAGCTTCTCTGTGCAGGAACCTCGGGTCCAAAGGACGCGCTCTGCTCCTGGCACTGCTTTCTTGGTGGTATGAGGTCCCCAATTCTCTGCTTGCTTCCCTTTCCTTTTATCTCTTGTAAGATAAAAGGTGGTGCAGGCCACATCCTAGGGAAACTACCTTTACATTGGATCAGGAATGTGACTTTACTAAGGGTGTTACAATCCCACCCTAATCTTCTTTAACGTAAAATTACAATCACAAAATGGAGGACAACCACACAATACTGGGAATTATGGCCCAGACAAATTGATACACATATTTTTTGGGGGACATAACTCAATCTATGACAGGGGTTAAAAAAAAGAACTAGAATAGTTGAAAATAATGCACATAAGTTGCAAGTGATGTGATCGGAATAAGACAAGAAATAAGATAAAAGTAAATTAAAGAATTGGAAAGAAATAAAACTCATCTTAGAGGGATGAAATTATCATTTATGTAAACATATGTTTTTTTCTTCTTTTTTTATTGTATTAGATGAAGGTTTACAGAACAAATAGTTTCTCATTAAACAGTACACATATTGTTTTATGACAATGGTTAACACCATGACATGTCAACACTGTCCCTTCTCAACACTGGGTTCCCTATTATCAGCTTTCCTGTCCTCTCCTGCCTTCTAGTCCTTGTCCCTGGACTATTGTGCCCCATTAGTCTCGTTTTGGTAAACATATATGTTTTTGGAAAAAAACTAATTTATAGTTACCTTAAAATTAATAAAAAATTTTAGTAATATTACAGGATATAAAACCATTACATTAAAAACCAATTCCATTGCTATTCCTCAGCAATAGTTAGAATATGTGATTTTAAAAGATAAAATTTAGAATAGCATGAAAAATATAAAATACTGAGAATAAATATGACAAACTATGCAGAACCTTTATGGAGAAAATTATAAAATCTTATTAAAGACATTAAAAAAAAAACCCTAAATAAATGGGGGTATAGAATAAATTCATGCATTGGAAGACTAAAAATTACAAAGATGACAATTATTCCCAAATTGATCTATGGATTTAGTGTTATCCCAATTGATGTTACGATAGGTTTGTTTTCTGCTTTTCGGACCTAAAATATTCAGGAAAGTACTTTTTGAAATAGAGATCTACTTAAGTTCAGTGAACCACTTTTCTTATTTTTTGCTGATTCCCTCTTCCAAATAATTTAGAGGGCCCTAAACGCCACAAAGAGTCCTGGTGGAGCAGTGGTTAAGAGCTCAGCTTATAACCAAAAGGTCAGGAGTTTGAATCCACCAGCGGCTCCTTGGAAACCCTATGCGGCAGTTTGACTTGAAGGCAACAGGTAGATTCTGTTATTTAAATGCCACAAGGAGCCCTGGTGGCGTAGTTGTTAAACGCTTGGCTGCTAACCGAAAAGTCTGTGGTGGTTTGAACCTACCAGCCACTCCATGGTAGAAAGATGTGGCAGTCTGCTTCCATAAAGATTTACAGCCTTGAAAACCCTATGGGACAGTTCTACTCTGTCCTATAGGGTTGGTATGAGTTGGAATCAACCTGACAGCAATGGGTTTGGTTTTAAATGCCACAAGTTGGTGACGATAATGCTGACCCCCCAGAGGTCCCTAGGTGGCACAAATGGTGATTTGAACCCACTTAGTGGCACTAGGGAAGAAAAAGTTCTGGTGGTCTGCTTCCGTAAACACTAAAACAAAATAAAACAAAACAATCCTCTTGAGCAGTTCTACTCTGTAACACATAGGGTCACAGAATTGACACCATGTCAACAGGTTACAGAGTTAATGTTGATCCCCAAGAAGCCTCACTGTTCAAGGCCTCCTTCCACAGTAAGGATGGACTTCCCCACCCTTTTCCAGGCCACTGGGTCCTATGGGGCCCTGGTGGTGTAGTGGTTTAGAATTTGGCTGCTAACCAAAAGGTCAACAACTCGAATCCACCAGTCACTCCTTGGAAATCCTATGGGGCAGTTCTACTCTGTCCTCCAGGGTCGCTATGAGCCGGACTCGAAGGCGAGATTTAAAAAAAAAAAAATTTTTTTATTGTACTTTAGGTGAAGGTTTACAGAACAAATAGTTTCTCATTATACAGTCAGTACACATATTGTTTTATGAATTTGGTTAACAATCCCATGACATGTCAACACTCTCCCTTCTTGACCTTGGAGGCCCTTTTTTTTTGGTGAAAATGTACATAGCCAAAGTTACACCATTTCAAAAGTTTCTACATGTACAATTCAGTGACATCGATTACATTCTTTCAGTTGTGCTGCTATTTTCACTATCCTTTTCCAAATTATTCCATCAGCGTTATCTTCAACTCACTGCCCCCTAGGCTTCCCAGCAAACCTTTTGAGTTGCTGTTGTCAATTTGATCTCACATAGATAATTTTTTTTTTTTTTTGGTACCTTAGATGAAGGTTTACAGAACAAATAGTTTCTCATTAAACAGTTAGTACACATATTGCCCTATGACGATAGCTAACAACCCCACGACATGTCAACAATGTCCCTTCTCAACCTTGGGTTCCCTGTCACCAGCTTTCTTGTCCCCTTCTGCCTTCTAGGCAGCATTTTTTTTTTTGTTTTTTTGATTTGGGTCGCTATGAGTAGGAATCAACTCCACAGCAGTGGGGTTTTTTTGGGTTGGGTAAGCCAAATTGGGCCAAGTCCCTGTTTGGCGCAGATGATTAAGCGCTGGACTGGATACCAATCAACGACAACAAGCCTAACTGTGGCCTAGTTAGACCAATTGCATGGCAATTCACCTTTTAAATAGATTTTGTGGAGAATCTTTCCAAAAGCTTAAAAAAAACCTAACTAGATTGTTTCCAGTCATTTCCCCTTAAACATGTCATTCGCTTTCTTTGAAGAACATGTTCCTCAATGACACCTCAGGCCCAGAACTATCGATTTTATATCACAGTTTTTAAAAGGTCCGTTTTGAAAAGATGTCGGTGATTATGGGGACCAACCAAACCAAACCAAACCCGTTACCATGAGCCGATTCTGACTCATAGCGACCCAAAAGGACAGAGTAGAACTGCCCCATGGGGTTTCCAAAGAGCGGCTGGTGGTTTCGAACTGCCAACCTTTTGGTTAACAGCCATAGCTCTTAATCACTGGGCCACCAGGGCTCCAGAGATTATGGGTAGGTGGGCCTCAAACCAGAAATTTTGCAAAGCCATTTATATTTCGAGAGATGGATTACGCGAAAAGCTTGCGCAAAGAAAGAAGCCATTTCTTGTTAAGTCCCTTACACGCAACGCATTGCACTCGTCATTACTTCACAAGGGAATGTGCCAGCTCAGTGAAAGTGAGAGGCGACAGGCACAACGCTTGTAAACGGCTGCAAAAGGCGTGCTCTCCGTGTTCCGTGGGGATATGCTTGGAGAGAAGGGGTTTCTAGTACCCCCGCGTGGGCGGTCTTCGGCCTGGCCAATCCCGAGGCAGGTGCGGAAGGGGGCGCGACGTCGGTGGGAGTAGGCGCGGCCCGGGTGGGAGGGGACGAGGCCTGGGATGGAGTAGGCTTGGCCCTATCGGGAGCGGAGCGGTCTCGGACGCAGTAGGCGTGGCCCAGGCGCGAGGGGGCGCGGTCTCGGGTGGAGTGGGCGTGGCCTGGGCTTTGACGGGGGCCGGGCGGGGGGCCGGGTTCTGGCTCCTCCAGCTTCTTCTCTCGCGCAGGGCGGGCTTGAGGCGCGCGACGCGGACGCCTTTCCCTTAGCTGCGGGCCATGGAGCGGCTGACATTGCCTCCTGGTGGTGCGGCGGCCGTGGACGAGTACCTGGAGTACCGGAGGTGAGTCGGCGGCGGCAGTTCTGGGCCTGCATCTCGCGCCCCGGCGTCTCCGCTGGGCGAAGAGGACCGAGGCTGCCCCGCCTCGCCCTGGTGTTCTGTCCGCCTCGCCGGAGAAGGGCTGGTGGAGCGGGCAGGGGGCCAGGCGGGCGAGCGCGGCCCGAAATCCGTTTCCAGGTTGTCGGGCGAGGCTTAGATTGATGTTGAGTTTGGTGTTTCTCTAATTACATATTGTAGTGACATGCGCTTTTCAGTACTGTAGGCCGTTTTGAAAAGGGCCTTTTCCGAGACCATTTCAGAGGTCTGATCTCCTTCTCAAGAGAGATTATTAACTCTAAATTTATGTAAAGGTATAATTGTTGCTTCTAAATGGCCGTAGAGGAGTTGCACATTGACTACTGGGGACCTATACAAGTTAGCGAACATAAAGGTTGCGTAACTTGTGTTAGTAAGTAGTGAACTTCCAAACGTGCTCCCAACCACCGAGGTGATGGTTTTAGGAGAAAGACACCGACTGGTGTAGTTTCAGTGGCTCTGGGAAGACTTCTCTCCCGAAACAGGAAAGGCAGCGGCCCCTTTAGCAGCTTTGGGAGCGATTCTTTGCTCTAAACCTGAGCCCTGCCAAAGGCCCATGAACCTGCGGCAACGTGTTCTTAGGTCTCACGAGAAAGGTCTTCGAAAGTTGGGAAAATGGACAGATAGGAATTGGAGACGGGCAGGGAGGAGGATGCAGGGCAGAAAGCGGGAGGCCTTGTGTACTGGTGGGAAGCGAGATACAGCCTCATCTAGGAAATCTCAGCAAGTGACTGCTAGGCTTAACGTTGGTCTCCCCAAATCACCCAGGGGGTTTCGGGACAGACACGTTTCCCAGCTGACTGCACTCCCTCTCACTGCTCCACTCCTGTGGTTTTGGGAGGCTCTTAGAACTGCCTGGTTTGGAAAAGTGAGGCCTGAGGATGAGGAGCTTAATGGATCAGTTTCTATACCTGGTTCAGCTGGGTCCAGGTAATGCTGGGAGTCCTGGCAGCTTCCACCCAGCCCTCAGCCTGGGCAGAACTGGTCCTTTAGCTTCCAGATCTTTCCCTGGAAGCAAGTTGCTGGGCCCTGATGGTGACTGATAATTTAGGTATTTAGATATGTGAATGTGTGGGCCTCCACTTGTAGTCTCTTGCCTGGCCCAGAAAATATTACGAGAGGGCCTGGTAGGAAATGATTTTTGCAAGCATAAATAACCTGGAACACTTCTCTTTAAAAGTCTGGAAGTGAGGTGGGGCCAAGATGGCGGAGTAGACAGACGCTTCCTGTGGTCCCTCTTACAACAAAGACCTGAAAAAACAAGTGAATTGATTATATACGACAATCTAGGAGCCCTGAACATCAAAGGCAAAGTTGAGGAATTGGACTGAGCAGCCGGGGGAGGGAGAGACGATTTGGAAGCAGCGAGGAGTTTCCAGACCTGACCTGGTGGGAGCCGGCACCCTTCAAGCCGAATCAGCTGGTATGCGCCGTGAGGCAAGCAGTGGTGCTTGGGAGGTGTTTTCCACATTTGGAGATACCCAGAGGCAGAGTCTACTCTGGCCTCCAGAACTAGTGAAGAGCGGCGCTCAATCGGCAAAAGATAAGTACATGTGTCTAACCTACCACCCGGACCAAAAAACACCCCCTTTAGGAAAAATCTCTCTCCCATTTACCTGCCCCACCCTCGCTCTGCCATGGTCCCAGGCCAGCTTCAGCAACTGCTGTGTCCCCTGGGCTGGAAGTAGGACCCGTCATGCACCCTGAGCCATTTTCCCGATCTTGGAGAGTGAACAAATTAACAAACAGAAGAAATAATCTGCCAGCTCCCCTAAGCCAAGAACTCAGGGTAGGCACAGCTCCTTTGCCTGGTTACAGGCATAAGGGGTCCCCAGACTTTGAATGCTTTTCACCTCTGCGTAGACCTGTGTGGGCCCATTTCAACAGCGTAGGCCCTTATGAGCACAGTACAACAGGGTATATACCTGAAGCCTAACTTCACTGTATCAGCTGTATGGTGGAGTGGTATGTTCATGACATTTGACACTGCTCTGCCCATTAAGCAGGGTCTTCACCTACCCACATCAGGAGCCTGAGGACTGGTGGCTCCACCCACGCCACCTAGCTACCTGTGACGGGTCCAAGAATAATTGGTGCCTCCCAGTCCTTACAGCCAACAGCATTGGGTGCCCATAGTCTGGCTGCAAAACCAACGCACCTGCACGCTCTAGGGAACAGGGACACATTTTCCTCCCAGACACTCAGGGGCAGTTGTCAGTCCCCTGCCTTGCTCATGCATGACTCCCTACTGCAGCCAGATACCTGTGCCTACACCAATCACCCATGTCTGTCTAGGACTGTAGGTGAGAGCCTGCACCACACACTTGGTAACCAACTACCCGGACACCTGAGCTGAATCCATACAAGAGAAGTAAACGGACTTCTGGGCTCACATACCTAGTAACAGATCTAACCACCTGGTGACAGGATGTTAGAGCTTCAAAGGTGCCAGTAATGAATCAGACTAGCTCGCATGAACAGCCTATTTGGGAATATCAAAACAAAACAACACAAGAAGCTAGGACACAGTAAGCAAACATAAAATAAATTATAATAACTTATTGATGGCTCGGAGACAACAGTCAATATCAAATCACATAAAGAGGCAGACTATGATTGATGGCTTCAGCAAGCTCCCAAAACAAAGAATCAAGAAAATCTTCTGGAGAAAGAGAACTTCTTGGAATTACCGTAGGTAGAATACAAAAGATTAATATACAGAACTCTTTACAGGCAAAATGCATAATAAGCCAAGGAACACAGACAAAGCAATATAGGAACTTAAGATTAGAGAAGAGCATAATGACAAATTTAACAGGCTGCAAGAATTCATAGAGAGACAGCAATCAGAAATCCAGAAGATTAACAATAAAATTTCAGAATTAGACACCTCAGTAGAAAGTCATGGGAGCAGAATTGAGGCAATGGAAGTCAGAATTAGTGAGACTGAAGATAAAACACTTGACACCAACCTATTTGAGGAAAAATCACATAAAATAATTTAAAAAAAATGAAGAAACCCTAAGAATTATGTGGGACTCTATCAAGAGGAGTAACCTATGAGTGATTGGAAGACCAGAATGGGGAGGGCGTGGAATAATAGAAAATACAGAGAGATTTGTTGGCAGAAAACTTCCCCGATATCGGGAAAGATGAGAAGACATTTATCCAAGATGCTCATCAAACCCCACATAAGGTAGATCCCAAAAGAAAGTCACCAAGACATATTATAATCAGACTTGCCAAAACCAAAGATAAAGAGAGAATTTTAAGAGCGGCTAGGGATAAACAAAAAGTCATCTACAAAGGAGAGTCAATAAGACTAAGCTCGAATTATTCAGCAGAAGCCATGCAGGCAAGAAGGCAATGGGATGACATATATAAAGCCTTGAAGGAAAAAAATTGCCAGCCAAGAATTATATGTCCAGCAAAACTGTTTCTCAAATATAAAGGCGAAATTAGGGCATTTCCAGATAAACAGAAGTTTAGGAAATTTGCAAAAACCAAACCAGAATTACAAGAAATACTAAAGGGAGTCCTCTGGTTAGAAAACCAATAACATCAGATAACAACCCACGACTAGAACACAGGACAGAGCAACCAGATATCAACCCAGATAGAGAAGTCACAAAAATAAATCAAAGCTAAAACATTGTAAATAGGGAAACGGAGACGTCAATATGAAAAAGATGACAACATTAAAACAAAAAAGAGGGACTAAAAAATGTAGTCATAGATCTTTCATATGGAGAGGAAGTCAAGGCAATATAAAGAAATAAAAGACTGGTATAAACTTAGAAAAATAGGGGTAAATATTAAGGTAACTACAAAGGAAACTAACAATCCTAAACATCAAAATAAAAAACAAGAAAAACAGAAAGACTCAGCAAATACAAAACCAACAACAATGAAACAGATGAAAAGAAAATAAATGACTCAGCACAGAAAATTAGGTGGAACAAAGAAACTGGCAACAACACAAAAAAAAGGCATCAAAATGATAGCACTAAACTCATACCTATCAATAATTATTACTGTCTACAAGAGACATACCTTAGACTTAAAGACACAAACAAACTAAAACTCAAAGGATGGAAAAAAAATATATCAAGGAAACAACAATCAAAAAGGACAAAGAGTGGCAATATTAATCGCTGACAAAACAGACTTTAAAGTAAAATCCACCACAAAGGATAAGGAAAGACACTATATAATGATTAAGGGGTCAGTATACCAGGAGGACATAACCATAATAAATATTTACGCACCCAATGACAGGGCTCCAAAATGCATAAAACAAACTCTAACAGCATTGAAAAGAGAGATAGACAGCTCCGCAGTAATAGTAGGAGACTTCAGTAGACTACTGTCAGTGAAGGACAGAACATCCAGAAAGAAGCTCAATAAAGACACGGAAGATCTAGATGCTATAATCAACCAACTTGATCTCATAGACATATACTGAACACTCCACCAAGCAGCAGCCAAGTATACTTTCTTTTCCAATGCACATGGAACATTCTCCAGAATAGAGCACGTATTAGGCCATAAAGCAAGCCTTAACAGAATCCAAAGCATTGAAGTATTACAAAGCATCTTTTCTGACCATAAAACCATAAAAGTAGAAGTCAATAACAGAAAAAGCAAGGAAAAAGAAACACATGGAAACTGAATAACACCTTGCTCAAAAACTACTGGGTTATAGAAGAAATTAGGATGGAATGAAGAAATTCACAGAATCAAATGAGAATGAAAACATATCCTACCAAAACCTTTTGGACACAGCAGAAACAGTGCTCAGAGGTCAATTTATAGTAATAAATGCACACATCCAAAAAGAAGAAAGGGCCCAAACCAAAACATTAATCCTACAACGCGAACAAGTAGAAAGAGCAGCAAAAGAAGCCCTCGGGTGCCAGAAGAAAGGAAATAATAAGAATTAGAGCAGAATTAAATGAAATAGAAAATAGAAAAACAATTGAAAGAGTTAACAAGACCAAAAGGTCGTTCTTTGAAAAGATCAACAAAATTGATAAATCATTGGCCAAACTGACAAAAGAAGAACAGGAGAGGAAGCAAATAACCCAAATAAGAAATAAAATGGGCAATATCATAACAGACCCAACTGAAATTAAAAGAATCATAAAAGTCCAGAAGTGAGGGGGTGTTCGGATTGGGATTGGGTCTGTGCAGACTCAGGGATGTGTTTAGGTCTAAATTAGTTTAAACTCCTGGCCCCAGGGTTTGGGGTTAGATACAGGGTTGCTATGAATTGGAATCAACTTGAAGGCAACAGTTTTTTTTTTTTTTTTTTTTTAATGGGCATTAGTTGTGTTGGCTAATGCATTAATATTTTTTGTTCTATTTTTGTTGTTGTAATTTTTTAAAGAAAGAAAATGTTAGAACTTTTGGCAGTTTATGTTCTAGCCTTTAAAGAGAACAATGAGCATATGTGCTTCAGAATCAAAGGAGAAATTGAGATGAATACCTGATAATTATTGACCATATTCCATCAGTAAACACAGTTATCAGTAAAGTCAGATGTTATGAATTCACTGACTTTCTTATTTACAATCTTCTTTTATATGCTAATCAATAGTTTTATTACCTTGTTTGTAATTTGGCTATTCGCATGTGCCTAAAGTAAAAGATGAACTTCAAAGGAGCCTTTCCATTGACTCTACGAGGGTAGTTTAATTTTAGAGTTTAGTGTTTTTAACCTGGAAAATAAATACTCAAGTCTTAAGAGAAGTACTTTTGTTGTTGTTGTTGTAGAATTGTTGGTGAGGATGATGGAGGGAAACTTTTTACCCCTGAAGAATATGAAGAGTACAAAAGAAAAGTTCTACCTATGCGCTTACAGAACCGATTGTATGTGAGCTGGCGATCACCCACTGGAATAGACTGTAAACTTGTGGGCCCAGAGACTCTGTGTTTTTGTACACATAGGTAAGATATTTTATTGCTAAGTTTCTTATGGTTAGAAATATAAAACCATACCAGAGCATATCTTCTTTTTATAAATAGCACTACTTGTGATGACTAAGAAGCTTAAAAAAAAAAAGCCTTTATATAGTATACTGGAGCCCTGGTGGTGCAGTGGTTAAGAGCTCAGGGTAATAACCAAAAGGTCAGCAGTTCAAATCCACCAGCCACTCCTTGGAAACCCTGTGGGGCAGTTCTACTTTGTCCTATTGGGTCGCTATGAGTTGGAATCGACTCGATGGCAGCGGGTTTTTTTATAGTATACTAGAAACTATCCAAAGGTTTTTTTACCTATAATTTAAACATTCTGTCATATCATATTAAAATGCATCGTAGAGTCCATTGCCTTAAACAACTCTTCTCTTGCTATTGCTAAAAAAGACATTGGTGTCCCTATGGCTTTGCCAGGGGTCTTTCACTTGGACCAGAGAACAGAATCTACCTCACCTCGATTGTACAAGGTAAAGGCTAGATTGGCCGGCTGTGGAACTGCTTTAAGAGTTGCTCGAGTTGACCCATACTGATCATATGTTCCACCACCCATCTGTCATTTTGTCCTACTCTGGTGGCTTGTGTGTTGCCATCGTGCTGGAAGCTATGCCTCTGCTATTTGAAATACCATCAAGTTCACTCATGGTGGACAGGTTTCAGCTGAACTTTCAGACTATGACAGACTAGGAGGAAAGCCGTGGTCATTTGCTTACAAAAATTAGCCAATGAAAACCCTAGGATCACAGCAGAATATTGTCCAATATAGTACTGGAAGATGAGCCTTCTGGGTTGGATGGCACTCAGAATACACAGTGGCTGCAACAAACTCAAGCATACCAATGATCGTGAAGATGGCACAGGACCAGGCAGCATTTTGTTCTGTTATACGTGGCCATGAGTCACAGCCAACTCAACAGCAACTAAAAGTCATGTTCCCTTTGCCATCGAGTTGATTCTGACTCACAGCAACCCTGTGGGACAGAGTAGAACTGCCCCGTTGGGTTTCCAAGGCTGTAATCTTTATGGAAGCAGACTGTCACATCTTTCTCCCACGGAGTGGCTGGTGAGTTCGAACTGCTGACCTTTCGGTTAGCAGCTGAGCATTTAACAACTGTGCCACCAGGGCTCCTTAAAAAATCATGTTACTCATCTACAAATAGAAGTATTTCTTCCCCAAATTTACTAATCTCCCTTTATGCTTGAAGAAACTGCTGTGTTGGTACCTTTCTTTAAACAAAAATAGGTGTATGCTGTTTTTTATTGCAAGTGGTCATGTTCCAAGAAAAGCACATTGAGGAAAGGAAATACATAAGGCTCTAGTCATTGGTGTGTGTTTCCTGTACCTGAGGTTGGCATTTTGCTGTATGCTCTCCTTTGAATTTCATGCCACAGGTCATAGTTGTAAAACTCAAAATGACCAACCTGCTTCACAGAAAAATCACTGAATCTATTATGTATTTTCAAGTAGCAGCTTTAACTTTTGTTCTAAAGAAACTATTAAAGGGGAACAGCCCCATTATCATGGCAGTTTCCGGAGTTCTTTCTCAAGACTGTTTGTATAGTTGCTATTTACAAACTTGCAGTTTGCCAGAGGTTGTTAGGCAGTTGCTAGGATGTGTAATGTTTTATATAGATCGACTTTAATCTTAGTTAGCAACTCCAACTAAAAACACCGTGGAGGAATGGAGGGTGGAGGAATGGATGGTGAGGGATGTGTTGATATTTTTTGGAATTGAAGAGGAGTTTGGTAAATTTGTGATTTACTCTTGCACAAATTTAGTGCCGGTCCCTTTATCTGTGTATATTGGTACAGGATACAATAAACCCTCAAAATTGATCCAGCCCAACTTCAATGGAAAATTTTTTCTTTAGTATTGGTCATGCAGTGAGACTTCTGTCCAAACTGTATTTTCCCCTAACATATACATGGTTATTAAGGAAAACTGGGAATAAATAAAAATGTAGAAAGAAGACTCACCACCAAAGCCAGCTGCTGTTAATGTTTTTTTTTTTTACTGTATTCATGTAATTTCTTCACATAGTTTATTTAGTTGTTAATTATGTGTATGCATATAACATATTAAGCCATTTTTTAAATGACAGAATGACATGAACATGTTGCCATATTGTTTTATAGTAATCACAAAATCTAGGAAAATTTCAAGTCATCAAAAATGAAATGGAACACATAAAGATTGATATTCTAGGCGTCATGGATTGAATTGTGTCCCGCCAAAATATCTGTCAACTTGGCTAGGTCATGATTCCCAGCATTGTATGATTGTCTACCATTTTGTCATCTGATGTGATTTCCTATGTGTTATAAATCCTATCACTATGACGTTAATGAGATGGATTAGCAACAGTTATACTGATGAGGTCTACAAGATTAGATAGTGTCTTAAGCCAGTCTCTTTTGAGATATAAAAGAGAGAAGAGAACAGAGAGACAGGGGGACCTCATACACCAAGAAGGCAGTGCCGGAACAGAACGTGTCCTTTGGACCTGAGGTTCCTGTGCTGAGATGCTTCCAGACCAAGGGAAGATTGGTGACAAGGACCTTCCTCCAGAGCTGACAGAGAGAGAAAGCCGTCCCCTGGAGCTGGTGCCCTGAGTTTGGACTTCTAGCCTACTGGACTGTGAGAGAATAAACTTCTCTTTGTAAAAGCCATCTACTTGTGTTATAGCAGCACTAGATGACTAAGTCACTAGGCATTAGTGAGTTGAAATGGATTGGTATTGGCCATTTTGAATCTGACAATCATAAGATCTGCTATGCTGGGAATGACAGGTTGAGGAGGAATGGCGTTACATTCATTGTCAAAAAGAACATTTCAACATAAGTACAGCACTGTCACTGATAGGATAATATCCATATGCCTACAAGGAAGACCAGTTAATACGACCATCATTCAATTTACGCACCAACCACTAATGCCAAAGATGAAGAAATTGAAGATTTTTACCAATTTCTGCAGTCCGAAATTGATCAAACACGCAATCAAGATGCATTGATTACTACTGGTGATAGGAATGTGAAAGTTGGAAACAAAGAAGAGGGATCGGTAGTTGGAAAATATGGCCTTGGTGATAGAAATGACCCTGGAGATTGCATGACAGAATTTTGCAAGACCAGTGACTTATTCAATGCAAGTATCTTTTTACAACAACATAAATGGCAACTATACAAGTGGACCTCGCCAGATGGAATACATAGAAATCAAATCAACTACATCTGTGGAAGGAGACGATGGAGAAGCTCAATATCATCAATCAGAACAAGGCCAGGGGCTGACTGTGGAATAGACCATCAATTGCTCATATGCAAGTTCAAGTTGAAGCTGAAGAAAATTAAAACTAGTCCACAGAGCCAAAGTATGACCTTGAGTATATCCCACCTGAATTTAGAGTCCATCTCAAGAATAGATTTGATGCATTGAACACTAATCACCAAAGACTAAATGAGTTGTAGGATGACATCAAGGACATCATACATGAAGAATGCAAACGGTTATTAAAAAGACAGGAAAGAAGGAAAAGCCCAAAATGGATGTCAGAAGAGACTCTGAAACTTGCTCTTGAATATCGAGTAGCTAAAGCAAATGGAAGAAAGAATGAAGTAAAAAAGCTGAAGTTAAGGGCAGCTCTAGAAGACAAAATAAAGTACTAAAATGAAATGTGCAAAGACCTAGAGTTAGAAAACCAAAAGGGAAGAACATGCTCAGCATTTTTCAAGCTGAAAGAACTGAAGAAATAATTCATGCCTCTAGTTGCAATACTGAAGGATTCTATGGGTAAAATATTGAATGATGCAGGAAGTATCAAAAGAAGATGGAAGGAATACACAGAGTCACTGCACCAAAAAAATTGATTGATGTTCAGCCACCTCAGGATGTAGCATATGATCAAGAACCAATGGTATTGAAGGAAGAAGTCCAAGCTGCACTAAAGACATTGATGAAAAACAAGGCTCCAGGAATCGACAGAATACCAACTGAGATGTTTCAACAAATGGATGCAGTGCTGGAAGCACTAACTCATATATGCCAAGACATTTGGAAGACAGCTGTCTGGCCAACCAACTGGAAGAGATCCGTATTTGTGCCCATTCCAAAGAAAGGTGATCCAGCAGAATGTGGAAATTATCTAACAATATCATTAATATAACACGCAAGTAAAATTTTGCTGAATTCAATTCAAAAACTGTTGCAGCAGTCGAAAGAGAGCTGCCGGAAATTCAAGCTGAATTCAGAAGAGGATGTGAAACAAGGGATATTGTTGCTGATGTCAGATGGATCTTGGCTGAAAGCAGAGAATACTAGAAAGATACATACCTGTGTTTTATTGATTATGATTTATTATATTTTACAGTTCTGTAAGAGATTTTATTTAAGAACGGATTTCATTGCTAAAGAGTTTGAAAACTATTTCCAGTAATTTACTTATCTAGTCCCTTATTAAGGATCCCCGGTGGCGGAGTGGTTAAGTGCTTGGCTGGTAACTCAAAGGTTGGCAGTTTGAATCCACCAGCCACTCTGTGGGAGAAAGATGTGACAGTCTGCTTCTGTAAAGATTTACAGCATTGGAAACCCTATGGGGCAGTTCTGCTCTGTCCTGTAGGGTCGCTGTGAGTCAGAATTAACTCGACAGCAACAGGTGTTTTGGTTTGGTTTAGTGCAAGAAAAGGAGTTCTGGTGGCACAGTGGTTAACGCGGTCAGCTGCTAATCAGAAGGTCAGCAAACTCACCAGCCACTCTTTGGGAGAAAGATGTGGCAGTCTGCTTTTGTAAAGATTTATAGCCTTGGACACCCTATGCGGCATTGTACTCTGTCCTGTAGGGTCACTATGAGTTGGAATCAACTTGATGGCAGTGGGTTTGGGTTTTGGGGTTTATTCCCTTATTAGCATTTTCTTTTTATGTGAATATTTTTGCTATTTTAAGTATTGTTGCTAATATTATCTTTATGGACAAAGCTCTTTCAACACATAGAATTATTTCCTTAAGTTATATTCCAAAAAAGTCAACTTTCTGGTTAAAGGATGAGTCTTTTTAAGTTTCTTAAAACGTTATTAAATGTGTTTACTTTGCCAGCATTGTGAATTACATGAAGTTTAAAAAAACCGTTGTTGTTTTTGCTAAGTAAAAATTGTATCTTATTGTAAATTTAACTTGCATTTCTTAGATTAATATGAGAATAGTAAATTCAGTTTTATTTTACTGAGTGTCATATTATGAGAAGAAAGTGAGTGAACTATTAAAAACATTAAAGTGTTTTAACAGGGAGCTTTGGCTTTAAAAAAGTTGATAATTTATTTTGAGGAGTTAAAAATTAAATTACATAAAAAATATATTAATACATTTATTGAGCTTATTTCAATTTTAAATAATGAACCTATGCAAATAAATTTTAGTTATACACTTTGATAAAAAGAATTTCTGTAAAGAACCTTTTTCATACTCTTGAATTGTACTTCCGTTTTAAAGACTCCAGTGTTAAGTATTTTAAGTAGTGTTAAATAGTGTTATTTTCCCGCAGAGCTGACAATTCGGTTAGTAGCCGAGCGCTTAACCACTGTGCCACCAGGGCTCCTTATACTGCATGTAGGGGAGTTTATTTTCACATTACTAGGTGGTGCAAAGGAGCCCTGGTGGTGCAATGGTTAAGTCCTGGGCTGCTGACCGAAAGATCAGCAGTTTGAACCCACCAGCTGCTCCGCTGGAGAAAGATGTGGCAGTCTGCTTTCATAAAGATTTACAGCCTTGGAAACCCTATGGACAGTTCTACTCCGTCCTGTAGGGTCTCTATGAGTCGGAATCAACTTGATGGTCAGGGGTAGGTAGTGCAAACTGTTAATGCGCTAAGTCCACCCAGAGGTATCTCAGAAGAAAGCCTGGCAATTTACTTCCAAAAAATCAGCCATTGAATACCCTATAGAGCACAGTACTACTCTGACACACATGTAGTCACTATGAGTAGAGTTAACTCAATGGTAACCAGTAAACAAGAACGAGAAAAAAAAATGATATTTGCATTTGAGAACTCATATTTACATTTAACAAAAAAGAAATTGTAATTTTTGGCACTACCCGCATTGTGTTTTTTCTTCCCTTTTATTTTTTTTAGGTATAAACAACATAAAACTGACTTTGAAATGATGCCACAGCAGCGCCCCATCAGTCTGCCTTGCCGAGTGACTGGCTGCCAGTGCAAGGCTTACCTGTACGTCCCTTTGAATGGCACACAGCCCATTCGCTGCAGATGCGAGCACTTTGCTGATCAGCACGGTGCTGCGCCTGGCTTTACATGCTCTGCATGTGAGTTACATTGTTATAAACACACAGTACAGTGTTCTTATTTCTTTAATATTTGCCATGTCTTTGTACCTTTGATTCAGTAATAGAGTCAGTATTAAATAACTAAGAAAAATTCAATGGATAGATGTTGTAAAATTTTATTTTTGTCGAAAAACACATAGAGTTATTTGTATACTTTTTATTTATAATGGCTCAATGGTTAAGCACTCTGCTGCCAGCTGCTCCGTGGGAGAAAAGACCTGGCTATCTGCTCCTGTAAAGATTACAGCCTAGGAAACCGCAGGGGTAGTTCTACTCTGTCTCATAGGATCACTATGAGTTGGAATTGACTCAACAGCACACACCAACAACAATCTCATATAATTCAAATAGTTGAAGTAATAGTAACGGATTTTAAAGAATCACTGGATCTGATTGAACTTTTTGAATATTGGGAGTTTAATCAACTAAATTCTATTTATGTGGTTCTTAAAAAGCATTCTATAAATAAAAAAAATTTATAATTTGCTGGTAGATTATTTTATTATGGCCTAAAACATAGGCAAACCAATTATAATACAATAAATTTTTTGAACCAATTTTTAAAAAATGTTATTGTGGTAAAATATATTGAACAAAAAATTTGCCATTTTAACCATTTTTAAGTGTACAATTTAGTGTCATTGATTACATTCACCATGTTGTGCAACCATTAACACTGTCTAGTTCCAAAACTTTATCACCCCAAAGAGAAACACAGTACCCCTTAAGCAGTAACTCCCCACTCTTTCCTCCTCCCAGCACCTGATAACGACTAATAAACTTTGGTTTGTATGCATTTACTTACTCTAGATACTTCATACAAGTGGGATCATACAATATTTGTCCTTTCGTGTCTGACTTATTTTACTTAGCATGATATTTTCAAGAGTCATTAATTTTGTAGCATATATCAGTACTTCTTTCCTTTTTTTTCCTGAATAATATTCCATTGCATACTTTCTGTCTCTGTGGGTTTGCCTTCCGTTATGGCTCTTATGGGGAGCTGATCCATAGGGAGGTTTCCAGGTTGTCTCTTCTGGTCCTGGCCACTGGGCTATCCTTGCCACACTTGCTTCTAACTCTGTATTTGAGGAGAGGGCTTACATTTCCAGGGAGGCTCTTCAGTGGTTAACCCAACTGCTTTTAGTCCTAGTTGGTTTTTCTAATACATAGGTATATTTTCTGTTACATAGCCCCCTTACTACTTTGCAGCTTTCAGAAGTGACAGCAGTAGCTATGAGTGAGTTGGCTGGAATTAAGAGTTACAGAGAATAGAGCACCAGGGACTCTTCCAGTGGCTTTGGCCAGGCCAAGAGTCTTCAGGGAAGACAACTCTGTACCTGTATTTTATTTTTTAAATAAAAAAAAAAATACTTATTTTGCTGTTGTTGAGAATATACATAGCAAAACATACACCAATTCAATAGTCTCTACATGTACAATTTAGTGACACATGCTCACCCTCCTTTTCTGAGTTGTTCCTCCCTCATTAGCATAAACTCACTGCCCCCTAAGGTTCCTATCTAATCTTTTGAGTTGCTATTGTCAGTTTGATCCCATATAGATAGTTCTTAAAAGAGCATAATGCTCAAGGCAGGCCTTTTTTATGACTTAAGCTAAACTATTGTTTGGTTTTAAGATGACTTTAGGGGATATTTTGGTTTAAGGTTTAAAGATTATCTCAGGGCAGTAGTTTCAAGAGCTCATCACCACTATGGCTCCAGAAAGTCTAGAGTTCATGAGAATTTGAAATTCTGTCCTGTGTTTTCCCTCTTTTGATCAGGATTCTTCTATGGCATCTTTGGTCAAAGTGTTCAGTAATGGTAGCCAGGCACCATCCAGTTCTGGTCTCATGACAAAGGAGGTAGTTATTCATGGGGGCAATTACCCACACATTCCATATCCTCCTATTCCTGACTCTCCTTCTTTGTCTGTTGCTCCAGGTGAATAGAGACCAATTGTTGTGCCTTGGATAGTCGACTGTAAGCTTTTAAGGCCCCAGGCACTGCACAGTGAACTAGGCTGTAGAATAGAAGCACTAAACACGTTATTAGGCCAGTTAACAGGGAATGTCCCATGAAACCATGACCCTAAACCTCCAAACCAAGGAATCAAATCTCATGAAGTATTTGGTTGTACATAAGCAGCCTCAGCACCTACTCTTTTTTTTTTTCGCTGTTGCAAATACATCTATCACACAACCTTTGCCAATTCAACTTTTTACCTGTGTACAACTTATTGACAGCAGTTACAATAATTGGCTGTGCAATACCCTTAATCAATGCAACACTCAAGATTAACTTACTTTACATCTTGATTCAGGTTCCAAGTGTTCAGGTTTTCATAGCTGCTTCACTTGTGCTTGTGGTCAGCCTGCATATACCCATGAAACAGTAGTGGAAACTAAGGAAGAAAGACTGGCTCAGGGAAAACCAGTAGGACAGGATGTTCCCTATGCAGCAATGGGAGGATTAACTGGCTTCAGCTCACTGGCCGAAGGCTACATGCGATTAGATGACAGCGGAATTGGTAAGTAACAATACGTGAAATGTGAGCTTGTTATATTGTCTTTGTGTGCTAACAATTGTGAAGCCTTGAATTCGTTTAGCACTTTATATTCTTGATGTTTTTTTCAAAAGACATTCTCTGATTTGATTTTTATTTTTTAAAGTCTTTATTGACATTATACAATACATTGTCATTGTAGAAAATTTTAGTAACACAAGGGAAAAGATGACTCTTAGAACAACACTTCTGCTTAAATCCCAACCCACAATCCCTCTGTTTGTAATAGCTAAATAATATTTCTTTTATTTGATATGACACAATTTACCTATTATCCTATTGTATGCAATTTTTGCTATGACATAACCGTATAATTTTGGAAACATACAGTGATACAGTCATGACTATAGTCATGTGTTTATATGTATGTGTGTGTGTACGCATGTAATCACAACCATACATATATAATATGTTGTAAAATGTGGGGATGACATCTGACCTCTAACTTCACCAGGGGGAAGGAGAAGTAAGATCAACAGCCCAAGGCTGATTCCTCTGAGGTGGGGTCAGACGTGCCTTCTCTCTCCACCATCTTTACCATTTCTGACACCATTTGTCCCTCCCACAGCACTCTCTACTTTTCGCTTGGGTTTGATAATTCATTGCAGTGGCCACACAGAACTCACAGACAATACTCACAATTATGGGGTTTATTAGGGAAATAACAGGTTACAGTTTAGGTTCAGGAATGCTCAGGACACAGTTCTTCCATCAGGACAGCCTCTTTTCAACTGTGCCCAGAGGCATGAGTCTCTCTGGCCCCTTGGCCTCTGCCCTGTAAAACTCTTTTAGTTCTGCAGATCAGTACCCAGACACACCCCGCTCTGCCAGTAAGCCTCAGCCTGAAGGTGCTCAGCTCTAGCTCTGTGGGCCAGGAAGCCCACTGTGCCATCTCCCCTGCTGCCATTTCTCTGCCACTGCTTCTTGCTGTCTTCAGTGTTATAGCTCTCTCTCCCTCTCAGTCTCCTAGTTCCAGGAGCTTCTCAGCACAGGGATCCCAGATCCAAAGGACACACTCTGCTTTGACCCTTCTTCCTTAGTGGTGGTGAGATCCTCCTTCTGCTCTGGAATTGGCCCTCTTTTTAAGCTAGCTGGATAGCAAAACTGACCAATCCCCTTGGTGGGTCACAATTACCTTATTTGCACAGTCCCACCCAATCACTCACCACCCAAGATCCTGGTGAGAAAGGTCATATAAAAGTGAACCATCACACCGAATATGTGCACACAAGTATGTGTGCCTGCACGTGCATATGCAAATACACATCTATTTGTATACATATAAGTTTGAAGTAATAAAGGGAAATGTTTCATAGGATATATCCCAAACTATTGAAATTAGTTGGATCCTTCTGAGTGTTGAGTGGGATTTGGGAGAGGAATATGTTCCCTGTCTACTTTAAATACTTCTGTGTTTTTTTTTTTTTTTTAACAGTAAGCATGTATTACTTTTATTTTTTTCATTAAAGACTATATAAATATAAATGAATATTTTCCTGTTGTAAAAGATTCAAATGATATAGATAAAGTGCAAGGCCCCCTTGACCACTTCTCCCTACTCCAGATTCTTCCTGGAGGGTAATTTTCTATCATCGGTTGATGTGCATTTTTCTTTTTAACATAAATTCTTACAGTTTACTTTTTTTTTTTTTTTTTTAATTTAGAAAAGTTTTGAAGACCTGTTATGTTAGGATGGAGCCCTGGTGGTGCAATGGTTAAGAGCTCGGCTGCTAACAAAAGGTTGGCAATTTGAATCCACCAGCCGCTCCTTGGAATTGCCTTGACAGCACTGGCTTTGGTGTAGGTTGGTTATGTTAGGACACAGAAACCTACCTTATATTTTTAAACTGTTGCATAGAATTCTACACATAGACATGTCAGTTTTTCTAATCATTGCCTTGTTCACGGCATTTAGGTTGTTTCAGTTGTTTTTGCTATTACAAACATTTCCTGCCAAGAAAATCCTTGAATTTGCCTCCTTATATATTTGTATGAATTTGACTCTAAGAGAGATACAGGATTGTTGGGTTGAAGTGTGTGAACATTTAAAATTTTAATACATTTTGCCAAATTGCCCTCCAAAAATGCTGTACTTATTTATATTTCCTTTAGCACTATTATTTTAGCTTGTGTTTTCTCACATTTATGCTAATCCTTGATATTATTAAACTTAATTTTTTTGCCAATCTAATGTGTGAAAAATGTTACCTTATCATTGTTTGTTTCAGTTTGATCTTCCTGGTTACTGGTGAAATGAGGTTTTTTTTTTTTTTTCTTATTTATTGGCTGTTTTACTTTCTGTAAATTGCCTGTTCATATTTTTTGCTCATTTTTCTTTTTTTATTGATTTATAAAAAGTCTTTCACATATTCTGTATGCTAATTGTTTGTTATTTATTTTACAGATCTTTTCTGCTAATCTGTCATTTCTCTTTATGTATATATATGTATATATTCATTTTTTAAAATTTGGAGTCAGGCTTTTCCTATTCCAATTTTATAAATATATTCTTCTTCATTTTATTCTAATGCTTAAAATTTTCTGATTTTGTGTTTAAATTTTTCATCTATCTGAAGTTTTTTGTGACAGTGTGAAGTAGATATGTCTAACTTCAGTTTTTGTCCAAGTCGATGGCCAATTGTCCAGCCAGCATTCTTTTCCAAATAATTTGAAACTTCCCCTTTATCATATTCTGTCATACTCTCTATTCTATGCCATTGGCCTATTTGTCTACCCTGTGCTAATATTACATGGTTTTAATTATTTTAGCTTCATAGTTGGTTTCGATATTTGGTATGGTAAATTCTTCTTCTTTGTGTTCCTTTCAAGATTGTCTTGATGTTTTTGTGCATTTTCTCTTCTAGGTAATTTGACAACTAGTCTGTTAAACTCCCTAAACAAATCCTTTTGTGATTCTCATGGCTGCATGATTGCCCAATTAACAGTGGCAAAAACTAATGATGATGTTATGATCACAGCTTCGTACTACCAGGTGTTGTCCCAACCACTTTATATATATTACCTCATTTAATCCTCACAACTCTGTGAGTTAGTTCCTATTATTATTGTTCTCATTTTACAGATGAAGAAATTCAGTGGAGAGAAGTAAAGCAACTTTGTTATTCAGCGAGTACACAGTATGGTTCGGTTCAACCCAGAGGTTGTTCTGGGCTCCTTAATCTGTCTCATTGTTGCTATTTCTGTGCAACTACCACATTGTTTTAATTACTATATCTTTATAATAAATAAATTAATTAATATTGATGAATTTATTTTATTACTTCTCGCCTACTGTTCCCTTTTAATTCTTTCCAGAACTTTGACATCATTTTGTGAATTTACAAAACATTCTGTTATTTTAATTGAGATCACATTGAATGTATATATTAATCTAGTAAGAATCGATATTTTAAAATATTAACTCTGTTCATTTATTTGTCTTGTTGTTGTTAGGTGCCATCAAGTTGATTCTGACTTATAGAGACCCTATGCACAACAGAACGAAACACTGCCTGGTGCTGTGCCATCCTCACAGTTATTATACTTGAGCCCATTGTTGCAGCCACTGTGTCAAACCACCTCATTGAGGTTCTGTTTTTTTGCTGATACTCTACTTTACCCAGCGTGATGTCCTTCTCCAGGGACTGGTCCCTCCTGATAACATTTCCAAAATAACATGAGATGAAGTTTTGCCATCCTCGCTTCTAAGGGGCATTCTGGCTGTACTTCTTCCGAGACAGATTTGTTCGTTCTTCTGGCAGTTCACGGTATATTCAATATTCTTTACCAACACCGTAATTCAAAGACATCAATTCTCCTTCAGTCTTCCTTATTCATTATCCAGCTTTCACATGCATATGAGGTGATTGAAAATACCATCGTTTGTGTCAGGCACACCTTAGTCCTCAAAGTGACATCTTTGCTTTTTAATGCTTTAAAGAGGTCTTTTGCAGGAGATTTGCCCAGTGCAATATGTCGTTTGACTTCTTGACTGCTGCTTTCATGGGGGTTGATTGTGGATCCAAGTAAAATGAAATCCTTGACAACTTCAGTATTTTCTCTGTTTACCATGATGTTGCGTATTGGTCCAGTTGTGAGGATTTTTGTTTTCTTTATATTGGAGTGTAATGCATACTGAAGGCTGTAATCTTTGATCTTCATCAGTAAGTGCTTCAAGTCCTCTTAGCTTTTGTGTCATCTGCATATCTCACGTTGTTAATGAGTCTTCCTCCAATCCTGATGCCGCATTCTTTTTCATATAGTACAGCTTCTCAGATCATTTGCTCAGCATGCAGATTGAATAAGTATGATGAAAGGATACAACTCTGATGCACACCTTTCCTGATTTTAAATCAGGTATTATCCCCTTGTTCTATTTGAACTGTTGCCTCTTGGCCTATGTACAGGTTCCTCATGAGCACAATTTAGTGTTCTGGAATTCCCATTCTTCCCAGTGTTATCCATAAGTTGTTATGATCCACAAAGTTGAATGCCTTTGCATGGTCAGTAAAACACAGGTAAACATCATTCTGGTATTCTCTGCTTTTAGCCAAGATCTGTCTGACATCAGCAGTGATATTCCACATCTTCTTCTGAATGCAGCTCGAATTTCTGGCAGTTCCCTTTCAATGTACTGCTGCAACCATTTTTGAATTATCTTCAGCAAAATTTTACTTGCATGTGATGTTAATGATATTGTTTGATAATTTATGCATTCTGTTGGATCACCTTTCTTTGGAATGGGCACAAATATAGATCTCTTCCAGTTGGTTGGCCAGGTAGCTGTCTTCCGAATTTCTTGGCATACATGAGTGAGCACTTCCAGCGTTGCATCCATTTGTTGAAATATCTCAGTTGATATTCTGTCAATTTCTGGAGCCTTGTTTTTCACCAGTGTCTTCAATGCAGCTTGGACTTCTTCCTTCAATACCATCAGTTCTTGATTATATTCTACCTCCTGAAATGGCTGAACGTCGACCAATTCTTTTTGGTACAGTGACTCTGTGTATTCCTTCCATCTTCTTTTGATGCTTCCGGTGTTGTTCAATGTTTTGCCCATAGAATCCTTCAGTACTGCAACTTGAGGCTTGAATTTTTTCTTCAGTTCTTTCAGCTTGAAAAATGCCGGGCGTATTCTTCCCTTTTGGTTTCCTAACTCCAGGTCTTTCTTTGCACATTTCATTATAATACTTTATTTTGTCTTCTTGAGCTGCCCTTTGAAATCTTCTGTTCAGTTCTTTTACTTCATCATTTCTTCCATTCACTTTAGCTACTCAGCATTCCAGAGCAAGCTTCAGAGTCTCTTCTAACATCCATTTTGGTCTTTTCTTCCTTTCCTGTCTTTTTAATGACCTTTTGCTTTTTTCATGTATGATGTCCTTGATGTCATCTCACAACTCATCTAGTCTTTGATTTGTGCTCAATGCATCAAATCTATTCTTGAGATGGTTTCAAATGCAGGTGGGATATATTCAAAGTTGTACTTTGGCTCTTGTGGACTTGTTTTAATTTTCTTCAGCTTCAACTTGAACTTGCATATGAGCAATTGATCGTCTGTTCCACAGTTGGCCCCTGGCCTTGTTCTTGTTATTTGTCTTAGGATATACTTTTATTTGTTAATCTCAAGTAGAAAATATTAAACATTTTACACAAAACAAGATTGATTGTGATTAGAATACGTAGTTCATGAAATTTTTTCAAAAAATAGTTTGAACTACATTGTTTAATAGCGCATACAGAATTTGAAAGAAATTCTATACTATATTTATCTGCTGTTTTATCTGGTTGATTTTGAAAAATTTGGTGGTCCCAGAAAACATCTTTATTCTTCTCCGCTGCTCTGTTTGAAGGTACTTTTTGTTCCAGCTAGCAGCATGTCCTAGGTATGAGAAATGAAAATAGCCCAAAAGAATATCTTAAATTAAAATATTGCAGGGGGCAGGGGAGAAGCCATTTTTAGAGTTTGGTACTTTTTCCATGCTGTCTTTGCTCTGCTGTCACTGAACTTTCCCTGAAGACCCTGGAACTATATAACTAATAAGACAAGAAGAATGGAAAGATTGTCTTTAGTAAAGTAGGGAAAGAACTATTGAAAAAAGGGAGTTGAGTAAACCTTGGTACACTTGGGAATTGATCTAGAAATTTATTGATTAATTCAAGCCCTTTGAAAAGTCATTGTATACCCAGAGGGGTCCTGGAACCCTAGTCTGAAGACCAATGGAATAAAGAAGATACTTCTTCTGCTCATAACAATTAGGCCATTAGGCTTGCTGTTCTGTGGCAGAAGACAGAGTAAAGCATAAGGAAAGAAAACCCTCTCCCTTCTGTCCCCTGAGGTGAGGTGAAGAACATTGAGAGTGAGGAGATGAGTCAAAGATGTATGTGTCCTGATTTCAGGTGTAGGAGAGCCTAGGGCAGAGGGACTTCTGTCCCATTAGTCTTGTAGAACCCTGAAAAGAGATGAGGTGTTGCTGGGATTTAGTTCCTTTATGATGCGGAAGGAATCTGTAATTTCCAACTTCTAAGGAGCACTTTGAAGCCCTGGTGGCGCAGTGGTGAAGAGCTTAGCTGCTAACCAAAAAGTTGGCAGTTCAAATCCACCAGCCACTTCTTGGAAACCGTATGGGGCAATTCTACTCTGTCCTGTAGGGTAGCAATGAGTTGGAATTGACTTGATGGCAATGCGTTTTTTTTTTTTTTTTGTT